TTCATATTATAATTTGCAGCAACAAATTGATCAAGCTTCTGTCTTCCGTGGGAACTAAGCACAAGCTGTTAAAGTGGGGAAAATAGATTTTACTGCTGAGATATGAATTTTAGGAGAGACAAGTGTGAGCAAACAAAGCTGTCTCCTCAAATACTGCAATAAGAAAGTGCCAGAATGTCTGGTGTTAAAATTAATATGCTTAATGGAGAATTTTAACTCTTTCTTCATCACCTAAACAAGATATATTACAGCTGATCTATATTATCTGTTGCTCAGTTAGCTTCCTGCAAGAAACTAGTTATGCAATTATTCAGACTAGAAGTTTTCAGCCAATGCAAGATGACATATGACTGAGATTTTACTGTTTCCCTGGAATATGATCAGGGGAAAGGAATGAAAATCTTGTTTCTCTTCTCTTCCAATACCACCAGTGGTTCTCACAAACATAGAAATTAGGGTCATCTTTCATGTATGCAAAATTTCATTTCTGTTGCATCAGATTGTTCGGCTGCCCATCAATTTTTGGCATGTAAACAAAATATTTGAAAAAGGGCTGCCACATATACATTAGATTTTATATAAGTAAGCCCAAAGAATTGTAATTCACAAACTGAACCCAGCTGGGAAATATGATATGGCTATAAAAAACCACCATTCTAAGTCATATGCTGTCTCAATGAAATCATTTCTACATCACCTGTAACAAAATAGTTTTAGTTTGTTCTGCAACATTCAGATATTATCATGATTACTGTGCCTAATCCTGGGTGCCGCACTTTAAGAAAATTCACAGAATTTATGTCCAGAAGGGCAACAAGGATGAGAGAAAGTCAGAAAATGAAGTCTTGCAAGGAGAGACCGAAGGACGTTAGCCCTGAGAAAAGATGACTCAGGGTGGAATTTCTCCCAAGAACTTGAAGTCACATATAAGAAGGTCAACATGCAGCAATGGTCAGTACATACTGCTGTTTTGGGCCAACAATTTATTCCTGACCTTAGAAAAATATAGGATATTTTCCCTACTGTTTTTTTAGGGAGCTTTTACTTTTTTGCAAATACTGATTTCTCTCACAGCATCTCATTTGACTTAGCTATTTTTATGTTGCATCAAAAAAGTCTGGGTTGATTATGTAATTTCTTTCAAGTGCTGAATTTCCTTCCATGACTTAGGAATTATACATTGGGATATTTGATACACATGACAAGCCTCTTGCATCAAATTCCAATTTTAAAAGGGCTATTAGTATGCTGTGCAATGTAATCTTTTATAGAATTTCTTTCATATATTAATGCAGTCAACTATTATTTTGTAGCCGGTCTACATGTGCACCACATATGCTTAAAATCTATAACAATAGTTTTTGAGCTTCCTGATTATCTTTTTCTAATCTGTGCAGAAGTATGGTGCATTCCCTAAAAGCTTTTTTTCTCCTCTTTCCAATTTTGAATGCTTTTAGAAATTCTTCTCTGTTTCAAGGCTGGAATAAAATGTTGATTAAAAACATTCCCATTCTTCTTTTAGTTCTTAAATGTCTAGTGAAAAACAATATGTTTCTGGAAAGAACATTTTTAAGTTGTATTTGTAATAATTAGGGGTGCTTCATTTTGACAAAGCACTTATCAACTCATCCCACCAAAACAGATTTGAGAACTGAAATGTGGATTGAGTTTGAAGTCCGTGAATTAAATTGGATGACCACAAAATACTTTTAGGGTTCTTACAGACTGTTTGATTTTAAATAATGTTCTGTATCTGTTCCCCTTTAGAAAGCAACCATCAAAGTGGAATATATAATTTGCAGCTTCACTTCCATTTATTGAGAATGCTAAGGATGACTGTGATTGGCTGTCTGAGACTGACAAGAGTTTCATCACCCAATCTGTATATAGTAAATTATATTTATTATTTATTATCAGAATCTGTATCAGAATTATTTTGAGGTAGCAAGGCTAACTTATTTTTTGTCTCCATTTACTGTCTTGCCTTTTATTTTCTTTAAACTGCCCAGTTTATAAGGCTTATGTTTTTTTTTTTTCTTTCTTGGGTGAATGGAATATTGGGCTGCTCCTGCAGGAGTTCAACTCAGCTCTCAGAATTCTGTAAGGGTGATGCTAAAATGAGGAAAAATGCTTTGTCACATCACAATGCAATTTCTCACTCTTTTGAACTTACATTAACTCTTTGCAAGGGACAGCAATTCCACCACAATATCATAATGTGCTTTTCAGCGCTTGTACCATTTTACATTTTCCACAGTCGCTTTTTTCAGCATTCTCGGTATGGGTTCACCTCAGAAATCCAATTGCATTATTAGTAGAGTTTTAAATTTTTTAGTCTGGAGTGTATGAATGCTGAGCTAAAATAGGCAATAATATTTCTTTTGCAAACTTGATCTGATGTGAATAAATATAAAGAACAGAGAGTGCAATTTTAAGTTTGTAATTAGCCATAAAACATAATTACTTCTTTTGATAGTGATATTGCATTTACTCCAATCTGGAATATCTGATATAATGAAATCTTATAATGAAATCTCTGAGGCTGAGATATAAACAGACTAGATATCTTTCTGAACTTATCTCAAGCTTCCATTATTATCCTAGTATAGGAACTAGTTGTCCCATTGACTAATTATATTTTATACTATTATTTAACAGACCAACTGTCATATATAAAGCAATTGTTCCCAATCTTTTACAGCTTGCTAGAAATGGGTAATTTGCCAGTAATACACCAAACATAAATCCAAGCAGGAACTCTTTTTTTTTTTATCTTTTTCTGTCTTCTTTCTGCCTTATTATTCATGATGCGTAAACTTCAATTTTACCAAATGAATATTTGAGATCTAGAGCAGTGAAGAATAAATTGTCCATAAAAATATCTCTATACTTAGAATTTTCTTTTATAGGCCTAGCTTTATAAAAGTAATTGATGCTCCCCACATTCACTTATACACAACCACATACCTATTTTGTCTTTATTTTCTTATTTGCCAATTCATAAAAACTTATGTTTATAACAACATTGAGAACTGAAATTATCTCTGAAATAGCTACAGCAAATCATGCCTCAGATTCACTATGTTTGAAAGAAAACAAGATGCTTTGCATCCTGAAACTTGGGGAGGCCGCTACAATAACATGTGGCCAATAGAAGAATTAACTCACTTTTCACTCTTGTTAATATCCTGTTCCAAATCCAAGCAGTTTCCATTAGAGTCCAGATACCTGTATTTATGCACAACGCATGGTATGGCCCTTATCTGGACATCTTATTGTTCATTCAGCAAGTCTCTTCTTGGTGCCAAAAGCCACAATGAAATAGTCCTGTTCCCAGCTTGCCACAACAAACAAGATGATTGATTACACTATGACAGAATAATGCCTTTTTTTAAAAAAGGCTTCTTTTAAAGGTGTTGGTCTTTGTTATATAGCAGCATGTTTCATTCCACAGTTGGCAGGATCAGTGTTGTTTTAGCATCTCACTTTCTCTGTTTGAATTCTCCTCACTGTCCTGCTCTGTTTTTAGGAGATTTGGAATTCAACCATAACAGTGAATATTGTTGGAAATCTGAAGGACCCTTTATCTCTGGAATGTTATTCTGGTTTTAATATTTCTGTATCAGAATCTTACCATTATCAGTTCAATCTTGCATAATTGCTATTTCAATTACATCCCCCAATAGATTTGAATTCATGCATGGGGAAAGTCTAGCACCTGTCCATTACACAAAGAAATTCTCCCTTTGTTTTTCACTGACATATAACTTTGTGCAATTTGTATTTTTGAATAACTTAAGAAGGAAGAAAATGTAAGAATCTGACCTCAGAGATACTTCTGACCACCCCGGAATTGGCACTTTTATTTATAGGGAAAGTACAAAGAACTGGGAGGAGAATTTTACTGCAATTGTCTTTTCCTGAACAACCTTTTTCAGGTATGTTGCAATTAACAGCTCCCCAAATGCTACTCTGCACTGGTGTTAGGAAAGGCACCAGGTTTAGGAAGGCTCATTTGGTGAAACCAGCAAGAAACTTTTCCATTTAAAATTCATTTCACCACTCAGCAAAGTGATTGGGTAGTGTAAATATTCCAAGTGTACATAAATGCTCCTGTGAATATGGGATCATTACCGTATTTAAAATTAAAGTACAACAGGCAACAGGTTTGTAATGAGCATATTGACCTCCACTGTGATGCACTGATTTCCAGGAAAATTGATATCCTTTCCCCCCCCCTCCCTTCAAGCAAGGAAAAAGGAGGCAGCAGAAGCCAGGAATCCAGGTTGTCACACAGCAGCCAGGAGAAAGTGGTAAGAGTCACAGTGCCCAGCAGCTAGCCAGGGATTGGAACACATCTGTAACAGAGTTAGGCGTCCGCCAGGCAGGGAGGCAAATGACAAAACCAGCATCACACCATTGCAACATAAGCGGCACCTTTTTGAATGTGCATTGTAATGCTGAATGCAATACAAAAGTCATGGAGCAGATAGCATGACACTGCTGTCATCGTGACGAAAGTGTCAGACAATGCAAATGCCTCTGGCGTTTTCTTCCAGCTCATCACTGAGGCATTACTGATTATCTATATGGTCAGATTTGCATTGGGATAAGAGAAGTTCATGGGTTGCAGTTACAGCCTAATGTCTAGCATTTCTAGGCTCTATAAACTAGGGTTCTAGTTTATATATTTTTTCCCTGTCCTGCTTCTAAATTCCAGTTGGGCATTAGGATAGGATCTATGGCAATGTGTTGAACCCCAGTGAAAAAGGACTCCTAAAGATGCTGTTCGCTGCTGGAGGGAAGGTATATTGTCCAGGATAGCCTTGGACAAAGATGCCTCCGCTGCGTGCGCAGAACATTTAAACTCTCCCGCCTGCTACAGCCCCAACTTCACCACGGGACTAAAGACCCCGTGACTATTAAAAAAAAAAATAGTTTGGCGGTCTTTATATAAGGATATATGGCGCTAGAGAAAGGTGTAGAGTAGACTGACGCACCTGCAGGGCAGGAGGCAAATGACAAAACTAGCATCACGCCATTGCAACGCAAGCTCTTTAAAGTCGGGCTCTTTGAAACGGAAGAAACTACGCCGTCTCTTGAGTACGTTCAATTCTCATTAGGGAACTGGGGAGATTAAGCCATCTGACCGGAGAGAGATGCGGCATCCCAGCTCTGCGGCAGCCCGGCCGTTCGCGCTTGCCTTGTGCCCGGCCGATTAATACGAGGCCTCAGGAGCCCGTCACGAGTCAGCGGCGAGGGCGGCTCCGCCTCCAGCACCCGGCGGCGGCAGCGGCGGCAGCGGCGGCAGCAGCAGCGCTATTCCAGAGCTCTTGCCAGCCAGACGCGCTTCGGCTGGGAGCTGCCGCTGTCCTCGCGTGAACTCGGCTCGTTGGCTGCCGCAGAAGGAGCCGGGGACGCGCAAGGCTAAGGGAGAGAGGGAGGGAGAGAGAGGAGAGAGCGAATGAGCGAGGCAAAGAGCAGATTGGCAAACGCCCCCTCCCTCCTTGGAGGCACATAGGGAAATTGATGCTAGCCAGCCTTGCCTCCCCCCCCCCCCGTTTGAAGTGGGAAGGAGGGAGGGAGCCCTAATTAATCATTCCGCAGGGAGAAAGGCAGGCAGCCGGGAGAGGTAAGATCCAAGGGAAGCGAAGGAACGAAGGGGAAGTAACAAGCCTAGACGGGGGGGGGGGGGCTTGAGACGAGAGGCGTCGAGGAGGCGCAACTCAGGCGGCCCGATCCCACGCAGAATTACTTAGAAGGCCTCAATCAGACGCCTTCCTCAGTAAGTAAACGCGGAGGATTGCCCCCTCGTCCTCTCCTTCAGCTGGGCGTGTGAATGGGGAGGGTAAAACTGCCGAGGTCTGCGGAGCCTGGTAATCGGGGCCTGGGTTTAAGTGAAACGGCTGCCGAAATGTAAAAGGAGGAGAGGAAGGAAGGGCTGAGCTGGGCTGGTGGAGAGCTTCGAGCCCCAGCCCCTTCCGCGGAACGCTTTCCTCCACTTCCAATTAGGCTCTCGGCCAGTCTCCTGCTGGAAGTGAATAGAAGCCCCATTTAAAGAAGGAACACCTCCCCCCCTCCACCCTCCACTCCCCCCCCCCAAAGAAAGCAAAGCCTGAGCCGCGCAAAGCTGAGCGCGTCGGTGTTTTTGCTTCTCCTCCGGGGGATGTGGAGGCGGAGGAGGGGGTGGTACACCCCGCTTTGTTCCCAATGAAAAACGAGCCTGTTTCGAGAAATGAGTGCCCTCTGGTCATCTTGCGTCAGTCAGGAGCAACCCGCACTCCCTTGGCCGAAGGTGTAATTATTACCTAATCTAACAAGCTTATCCCCGATCAGCCATTGAAAAGGGAGGGGAGGCTGGAGCGGCGGAAGGGGCGGGATGGCTGGCGTCAAGCGAGCTGTGCCCTCGGTTGCCCTTTCCGCAAAAGTCGTTCCTGTGCCTGTTCCTGTGATTTCATCAGGGCGACGGGTGCGCGCTCCGACAGCTTAAGACGAGGAAGGCCCCGAAGAGGTTTCTTGCGGAAACGCCGGCCTCCCTTCTCTCTCCTGTCGGATGATTGTTCCAACCTGCCCTTGGTGCGTTTCCCTTTCGCGACTGTGTGGCTCGTCCTTTCTCGGCTGCCTTTCACTGATTTCGTGCGCTTCAACTCCCATCTGCTTAACTGCGAGTCGTGCCAGCCGGTTCCAAGATCCTCCGACTGGGTGGCTCGACTTCCAGGGCTCTTCCAGCTTGTCTTTGAGCGCCGGCGTCGCGCTAAAAGCGCCGTATAACCGGACCAAGTGACGTAATCGCAGCAGTAATCTATACCGGAGGATCAGATCAGGGATGTTTAGAGAGGGCACGTCTGATAATGAAGAGTGGGCGTGGGGACAAACGAGTTGATGGATATTTCCAACCATTTATGTAGCACTTTCAGTAGGGATGGTGCTTTCCCTAATCTAATGTTTAATACTGGGCAAACAGAGAGATAGATGGGATGATAAGCGATCACGGGAAGCAAACCTACAGGTTAATTTTGTTCATAAATAAATATCTTGCTTCCAAGAAGTCTTAACAGAGAGTAAGTGGCATAGGGTCATTTTTGGGGTGTAAATGGTCAGTTAAGGCCGGCTTAAGCTCAGAATCTTGAATGCCTAATCGGAGCAGCAAAGAGTGAGAGAGTTTTTTCCTTGTATTTTTGCTGTCACCTACTGGTCGACCTGATTCTTACAACCTACAGTAGTGACCAAAATTGTGGAAACCTTTTGGGGAAAGTGTATTTTTGAGATTTGATGGCTAATAACACCACTTTTGGGGGGGAGTAGTACCATAAAATTATATATCAATGGAAAGATAATTTAATCAAGAATGTAATGCAACAAAGTTTGTTCAATTATCTGTACTGTATTCTATGAAAAGTTATAGCCAAACAACCAGAAAAAGGAAGTGCAACTTGCTTAGGTTGATATCAAGTAGCTTTCCTTCATCTGATTGTAGCCAATGAGCATGACTGTTTAGAGAGCCAATCAGGTGTCATCTTGTTTTGGCAATGAGCCAATCAGATCATAGTGTGATTCAGTTATTGATGCCCTGTATTGAAGCTGAGAGGAGGACATTTGTCAGTGTATCAAGTTGGTTGGGTTTTTTGTGTGTTCTTTCATTTAGTGAGCTTGTAATAAAATTAAAGTAATAAAATTAAAGTAATGGTGCAAAGAGTTGACTGGTTGCCCAGAAAGTAATGTAAAATAGTATTATTAAGTGAACAAGTCTACAGTTATAAAGAAATTAGAAGAAAAAATGATGGAAACTTAACCAAAGGTGGCATTTCTACTGGAAACTTTTCCCAAAAGGTTTCCACAATTTTGGCCACTACTGTAGTACCTTACTTGCTTGCCAGTTTTCCCACTTATTAAAATGGTTGATGTTAATATCTTCCTCCTGCTACAGAACTTCAGCGCACACACAAACAGGCTCAGTAGATAAAGTGAAGGGAAAAGATTTGAAAATTACAGAGTCATGGGCTCCGACTCTTCCCAAGAGAATCAAACTCAACTGGCGTTTATGAGGAAGCATAAAGATCTTTCTGTAGCTGAAAAATTAAAAAAAAATTATTAGGCACAATAAAGAGGAGTGTGAGAAAGGCCAGACAGGTCCTGGATTTTGATCGTGTGGCCAAAGACAAACATACCCCTAAATCCCATCACTTTCAGTGATAGCTACTGAAGCCTTGCTTAACAATTTTCAGCTGAAGCTTCAAAGGTCTTAATTTATTTAAGAATACAATAAAAAGGAGTATGTGTAGCTCAGGATTGAGGAAGGGTCCTTGATGCTCTCTGAGCTTATTTTCTTGCAGACGTTCCATTATCCAATCTTTCAGTGCTGATGTTACCTAGTATGGACAATGAAACATCTGCAAGAAAACAACCAATCTCAGAGAGCACAAGGAGCCCCCCCTCCTTACTTAAGAATATATTACTTTTTTCTGTACCCCAAATTCTTATCAGCAACATTCATCGACAGGACAGCTTGCATTGTCTTACCCTAATTTTGGCAGTACCATTAAGAGGTAAATAGTGGCACCTATCCTACCCAACTGCTACATAACATTTGGCAATAAAGAATATCAGTGTGCATTCCGCATCCCATAATAAACAAAGAACCCTATGCATAGGATTGCAACGAGCCTCACTGAATCCAGTGCATTACATTTGGCAGTCGGGTTATAAGTAGAATGCATGTATGTGTAGACAGATATAAAATAAACCTCAATAAACATTCAGCAGGAATCTATAATTCTAAATTGAATTATAGAGAGTAAATCCCACCCCTGGTCCAGCACATGTCTACTCAAAAGCCCCACTGAGCGCAGTGAGGTTTCTCCCATGCTAAGTAAACAGAACCAGAATATTAACCCATCACCCTCTCCAATTTCACAGGATACATTCTTAGTTTTTTTTTTTTTTAGTTTTTTTTTAAATCATTCCTTTAGGTTCCTGAGACACGCTATCTCGCCCCCCCCCCGCCCTCGCCCATAGGTGACGGAGAACAGATCCTCCTTCTGTTGGGGCCATGCTTACTTGCAAAGAGTTAGTCAATGATAAACTTGAGAAATATTGCAGACTGTCAAAGAGCCTGGGTTGCTGCGCAGAGAGAGAGAGAGAGAGAGATTGACTCAGCGGCTTTGCAGCCTTGGACCGCCCCTGGTTACGAAGCAGGAGAGAGGAGGCCGGGCGAGCGCATAAGTAGCTCTGCTTGGGATTATGAGGACTTTATCCTCAGATGACTCGGTTGCCGCCTCCGCCTCCTTCCCGCCGCTCTTATGTTTCGCTCTTCTCCCAGGGCGCTCGCGAGTAGGATTTTGAAACTCCAGCTGAGTGATTTCTTGAACCAGCGAGTGTGGGGGAGATAAGCCGGGGAATTCTTTTTTTTCTTTTTTTCCCTGAATCATCTTAAACCCGCCTTGCCCCCATTTCCTTTCGGCCCCACGCTCAGTCCCGCTCACACGCCCTCCCCCCAAAGCCCCAGCCCCCAAGCTGACCGAGAAGCCAGGCTCCTCGACTTCTAACTCCCCGACAGAGGAACCGGCAGTTCGTTTATGTTTAGACGCGCACGAAGTTTTTTTTTTTCAAGTCGCTTCAGGACAGGCAGCCCCCCTCGAGCCACTGTTTGTAATGCTGCGCGAAGTATTCATATATTCTGCTTTGGCACTGAAAAATAAGGAGGTCCGGGGTGGTTAAAAAAAACTTACCCGCTTATAAAATCGGAGGCAGGTGAGGCTCCAGACACCTGACACTTCAATCCGAGAGATGCGCAGAACCTGTTACTCTACTTGGGAGTGAGATTCATTGACATCTATAGGGTTCACTTCGGGAAGATTCCTCGCTGGCTGTGGAATTCTGGGAGTTGAAGTCCACATGCCTTAAAATTGTCAAGTTTGGGAAACACTGCGATGGAGGAATGTTTTTTTTTTTTTTTCGGCCAAGAGTGTTCGATTCTTCCGGTGGGATTTAGCCTTGAGTGTTCAATTTTGTCAGAATGTCGTGGCCCTCACACTTAGGCTCACCTCCCGCTTTTAGGCTCTTACCTGGGGCAGCGCAGCAAGCCCCATTAAGGTCAGTGGGTGTCATTTCTGGGTAGACAAAAACAGGCTTGCAGCGGCAAGCTGATCTTTCATAAGAAACTAACCCGAAGCGCGATCCTGGGTCGTTGATAGTTCAGGTCAATAAGAATTGGGCCTAAGTAGCTGCAGCCTTATTCCCAAGAAGGGACGTTTAGGATCGCACCCTTATTTGGGGTTGGCAAAGACCGATTTCTTCCCGGGCCGGGAGGAGCGGGAAGGTTGCGTTGGGCTCAGTGCGGTTCTCGGAGCGCCGCGTCGAGATGAACTGGGCGCCTTGCCCGGGAACGAGAGAGCGCGGAGGCGAGGAGATCTCCTTAAAACAGTGTTTCTCAACCTTGACAATTTTAAGGCATGTGGACTTCAACTCCCAGAATTCCACAGCCAGCATTGCTGGCTGTGGAATTCTGGGAATTGAAGTCCACATGCCTTAAAATTGTCAAGGTTGAGAAACACTGCCTTAAAAGCTCTGCGATTCGAGAGTTCAGCGCCTTTCTCCGGCTCCAACGGGTTTAACCTCCCTGTTCTCACGCAGAGGAATAGCTTCGAGCTAGGCAGAGGGAGCCCCGGAAGAAGGCAAAAGAGCAAACCGGTTCTGTGCTGGGAGAGTCATCAGAAGTCGAGTTCGACTTTGCTTTATATCCGGCCAACCTTTTTATAACCGCACCTGTGCAGCTGGGTACTTACCACCCCAGTTCCTAACCATTTCCTTTAGTTCACGTTTCCCGTTTCTAAGGGGGAGAAGGACTGGGTGTCCTCTAGACATAGTACTCATCCTTCCCCCCCCCGCGCGCAAGGGGAACAGCGGCATCGCCCCCAAAGGCTTTAGTGTGTGTTTGGCATTAGAGTAAGTTCTGCGTTAGAATAAGTTCGGCTTCACTTCCTGAGGTCGGTTCCTGAAGGCTGGTTAATCGGCCAGAAGGATGGGAGTTGGTTGATTTAGCTTATGCCGTCCCCCTCCCGGGAAATTTCCCGAAAACTCGGGGCTCAGCGGAAAAACCGGTGGGTTTTGTGGGACTTGGTCTGTCTGGAAGAAGTCAGGAGTAACCGCTACCTATCCCAACCGGAAGACTAGGAGCTGTCCCTATTGATGCTGCTGGCAAAATCAGTTTCTGCCAGCTTAAAGGTTAGGAATGAAGTATATCAGTGTTTCCCAAACTTGACAATTTTAAGGCATGAGGACTTCAACTCCCAGAATTCCACAGCCAGCAACGCTGGCTGTGGAATTCTGGGAGTTGAAGTCCACATGCCTTAAAATTGTCAAGTTTGGGAAACACTGATTAGTATATTATAGCATCCGATTCCGCCTGCGTCGTCTGATAAAAGCCGGGTCTCGCTCGTGGAGCCGTTCTAAAGAACTCTTTCGCAGACCGAAATTTTGTTTCGGAAGTGAGAGGAGAAGGAGGACAAATTGCAGAAGCGTTCAGATCTGGTCTGCCACGTTATTGCTGCCTGCAGACTCGCCCTGCCCTAGCTGGGAAATTCACTACCCCTCCTGAGGCAAACGCGTTTCAGTAAACGGGGCATCGAATAGCTCGCTTCAACATGGGGTCCAAGAAAATTGCGGGGAAGCCTGACTCTCCCCGCATTTAACTTCGCAATTGAGGCACAAGCAAGATAGGGCGGTGCGTGGCGTGTGTGTGTGTGTGTGTGTGTGTGTGTGTGTGTGTGTGTGTGTGTGTGTGAAAGGTTACGGGCCCCTGGAACAGCAATCCTTACGCACGCCGACTTGCATTCAGGGAAACGTACCTCTGAGGGCAGAGGGATAAGGCTAGCCCTAACTCTGAGAGCCCTTGCTAAACCACCTGTTTCTTGACTGTTGGTTTTTAGACCAACTGCTTTTATTAGGGAGAAGAAGGTTAGCTTGATGCAGCAAAAGAAAAGTCTACCGGATGTACAAATGTACAGTTCACTCTAGTCCCATTTTTTTTTACTGTACTAGAAATAAAGCCTGTTTTTAATTACCAACGAAGCCTGCAGGTATATAGTCTTATGCACCTTTACAGTGGAACTGCCCTCCTGAGTAAGCGCGCTGAAGAGTGTAACCGTCGGGTGCTAAGCCCTTTGGAAATGAATAACAGGGTGACACATTCCATCTGTTAGTGTTTAATGTGTGTGTCGCCACGGTACTTTTCTAAAATCTGAAGTCAGGATGACTCACCACAGAATAAAAGTATTTTGCGCTGCCCGGGTGGTGACCCCCCTCCTTCCA